CAATTGGCCCTGAGTTTGGATTTAACTGCCAAATTAAAATGGAGAAATTGGTTAAGTCTTTTTCTGGAAAGTAAATTAGCTTTAGGAAGAGGTTTTGTTGTTGTTGTTGTTGTTTGTTTTGTTTTTCCAAACAGATAGGTCTAACTTTTTTATTGTGGAGCAAAGAACTTAAATGCTAGCCTGATAAACTCATTATATTAAAATCTGTATCTGTTGCTTACTCAAAACAGAACAAAATGTGTAAATTATGAAAGATAAATAAGGTTTTCACAGACATAGTATGATGTAAAACTTGAAACATTTGGTTTGGAAAATGGTGTAAGAAAGTCCTGATGGAGATAGAAATAGAGTTCTGCCTTTTGTCCAAGAAGCTATTGGGCTTGTGGGCTGAGGTTACTTCAAGAAAGTCATGTTTGGTGACAAAGGACCACTAATGATGAAAGCTGAAAAGAGTACCACGTTTATTTAGGCTCTTCTAAACTGCAATAACCTGGGACACACCCATGAGCCACACTTAGCCTCTTTTCCTTAATCCAAGGGTGCAGCTAGTCAGCTGCCACCCCGAGGGAGGTACCCATACCTAATGTGCAGCACATTACTCAGGCTGTTTGTTGAATTTGGTATTTGAAAAGGTGAAGGCAAACATACAAGTACATAAGAAGAAAAGACAACTTGTTTCTGCAAGCTGATAAGATTGATAAGATAATTAGTTGTGAGTTATTGTTACATTTTTAGAAAATTGGAAATCTGCAATTAGCATTATAAATCTCAATGGTTGAGACCAATAGCCCATGTTATACTTGGGGAACAAAAGGTACTAGTGAATGAATAATAAAAGCAGGATGTCTCAGGAGGGACCTTCTTGGCATCTTAGTGAGTAGTTCCTTGTGCGTGACATAGTTCTGCATTTTGCAGTCTGTGTAGCAGCGAAGCCTTTACCATTAGAGCCTCATGTGGTATTTGGTCAAGCAAAAATACCTTGTCAAGCTTCAGATGCACAGTGGGGGGTGGCACCAGTCCTAGATGGATGCTACTGGTAGTGAAATTATGTCAATGAACCACTTGAAATTATTCAGTTAAATATCTTAAATGTTGGAGGTAGTTTTTTAAAAGTATGTTGGCATTTTAAAATAAATGATTTAAATTACTTCATTCGTAGGCAATGAATAAATGGTTTGTAAATTAGACCCAATTGTACGGTAGGCGAAAGCCTAAGCTTTATCAGTGGCCAATTGATTTGTAGTATTAATGTGAAGAGAAACACGTATTGATGGCAAGATTTCCCTTATTTTAGCAGGAAAAAAACAGTAAACTTGTTAAAATTTACCTAAGTGCAAATTTTACTAAACCCAAGGAAGAAAGAATGAAGCTTCTGGTTTATCGTGAAGTAATGTAAATGTACCTTGCATTCAGTCTCCCTTCTTTCATGGATAGACTTTCCTCGGTGTGGGTGCCAGGGACACCTGATACCAGCGTTTCATGTTTTGTTTTCAGGATCAGTTTAGTGATATGAGAATCAGCATAAACCAGACGCCTGGGAACAGTCTTGACTTTGGATTTACAGTAGAATGGGCTTTTTCCGGCATCTTCATAGCATCCGTTGAAGCAGGTAAATCATAGATTTAGCTCTACTGAAGTTTCTTCTGCTTTTTAGTCCTATGTTATGAGGTGGGGAAAAATCCCACAGAAGTTAGTCTATTTGTTATAGGGGGAGAAAACATGTGAAAAATGCAATAGCAAAGCAAGGAAGTGCATCTTCTTTCCCAAGACTGTTAATTGGGGTTACAAATTACATATTATTTATTCTCCTTGCCTAATTAATTTTAGTTTTGAAGAATCTTAATTCTGTGACTTTACAGAATTTGTCAAAATTTTGGACTTTATATTTGGAAATACTAACAAACAGTAGCAAATCTTAATGGAAAATTCAGAAGGAACTTTCCACGATCAGCCATGTTTTGTGGTGAAATACCTGTTGCCCTTAGAGTCCTTCATGATGCTTCGGGACTTGTGCAAAAGGATTACTCCTCCCCCACCCAGGGTTGTACCAAGTCAAGCTCAGGAACTCTTTGCAAAACATTACAAGGCCTAAAATTAAGATGAAAACTATTGTATTTAAGAGGAGGTCCTTTTTTACAAAAGGTATTTTGGCTATATAAAATTGCATGTTAACACCAGTTCTTTTAAATTTCAAGACTGCTTTAATTGGATAGATAATGGTTTTTTAGCTCAAGAGTAATTTTAAGCAATTTTAAATAGTCATTTTTTCTTTTCCATTCCAGAATGCATCTGATTTGGAAGCTCAAGTGTAATACATTTTGTATTTTTAATTTAAAAATAACTTTAATTTTTCTTTGTCCTTAGGAGGTTAATAAAGGAATTTTGTTGAATAGATGAGTTTATCATCTCTGCTTTAAATGTTAACCAAGATACATACTGTAGAATTTTTTTTTTTTTTTTTTTTTTGCCCTGGCTAGAGTGAGTGCCGTGGCATCAGCCTAGCTCACAGCAACCTCAAACTCCTGGGCTCAAGCGATCCTTCTGCCTCAGCCTCCCGAGTAGCTGGGACTACAGGCGTGCACCACCATGCCTGTCTAATCTTTTCTATATATTTTTAGTTGTCCAGATAATTTCTTTCTATTTTTTTTTTAGTAGAGACGGGGTCTTGCTCTTCCTCGGGCTGGTCTCGAACTCCTGAGCTCAAACAATCCACCCACCTCGCCCTCCCAGAGTGCTAGGATTACAGGCGTGAGCCACCGTGCCCGACCTTGTAGAATTTTTTTTTAAATGCCTTTAATGCTTTGTATGTGGTAGATACTCAGATATTTGATAACTTTGAAAAATTTAGTGACTCTTCTCCAAATGAAATAAAGGGAAATGGTAATTCAAGATTAAGTCATTTTTTCTTTAACTTAAAGAAGCAGTGACTAGTAGAACTTGTGGGTTTTTTTTTCAATTGGTTGTTTCATTTATTTTGCATTATTTAGGTAGCCCAGCAGAATTTTCTCAGCTCCAGGTAGATGATGAAATTATTGCTGTTAATAACACCAAGTTTTCATATAAGGATAAGAAAGAGTGGGAGGAAACCATGGCTAAAGCTCAAGAAACTGGAAACTTAGTAATGGATGTCAGGCGCTACGGAAAGTCTGGTGAGTGAGTTTTACTACTGTGTCTGGCATTCTAAATTGGGAACTGGTCTTTGGCAAGTGGTTGTAACAGTTTGCTTCAGTAACTGTTTTATTTTTTCATTTTACTTATTTTTTTGGCTTTAAAGGTATTTTGTAGTAATATTGTGACAAATCTTGAATGATGCCTTGTTGAATATTCTGTCTGAACTTTTCACTAGCAAATTTACTGAATTCTACATTATTGTCTGATTTATATACTGATTTATGAATGCAAATATCAACTGAAGGCAAATATATCTGTGGTCAGGAGTCATTTATGCTAACGTTGAGTATTAAGAATTACACTATGATTTAACTTTCTCTGCAGCATCATAACCATACTGGTAGAGAGCATGGCAGGTCATGCTCCTGTTGTTCATTCTCAAAGAAGTTTGAATATTCCACTATTGTGTTTCTTGGTTATTGAGGTTAGATGGGAAAGGGCATTAAGCCTCCCTAGACCTACCAACTTGTGATATCAAAGTATAATATCTAGTCCTGGTTTATGGAAAGATTCAGCAAATTTGCTAGTGTTTTCATTATTAATGTGATTTAACCTTTGTGTTTTGGGAAGGTGGTCTGTTGGTAAAAGCCCTAAACTCTTCATTTCTTTCACATACTACCTGATTTGTTTGTCTTGTACATGTGCACTTTGTGTATGTGCATTCAGTAATTTTTATTCTTTCCACTTCAACATTTATGTGTACTCATTACTCCATCTTCATGCCAATCAGACTGGGGCAAAGACCTACCTTCCCTGCCATTTACACAGCATAAAACCCTCAATCTCACCAGTATGGCTACCAAAATTATAGGTTCACCTGAAACAAAGTGGATTGATGCAACTTCTGGAATTTATAACTCAGACAAATCTTCAGATCTGTCTATAACGACTGATTTCTCTGAAAACCTTCAGAATTCTGTAAGTATTTTGAGAAGCCAGTACTTGTGTAGAGCACAACATCTGTAGGGATTGCATGTGGGGAAAAGAATTTATGTGAACAATTTTGATGCTGCTATAAAAACAAATAATTGAGTAAGGTAACTTATAGTAAAGAGATATAGTAAAATATATTTTCGAAAATCATAAGGCATTACTCATTAATAGAGAAGTTGTGAATTATATGATGGTAAAGTTAAAAGATCCCATAATGTTGTTTTGCAGTTGTTTCTCATCAATCTTTCATCATTAAACCCATCTCTCAGATCTTTGTGAATGTGAAGTAGCAATTATGTAAAATTACACACTGTAACTTCTCCATGCATTCTTTAGTCTTTACTGGCAAATGTTAATAAATACAGTAACTGTGTGCAATATAAAACTTCACAAAGCATTTTTACTTTTTGTGTAGGTAAATTTGGTAGACTTACATATGTGGTTAAGACATAATCAGTTCCATTAATTGGTTTGAAAACATGTAGAAATTTTTTTACATGTCAAGCATTACTTTTTCATATAGGTTTTGAAAAAATGTACCTATTTATGATCTGAATTGTTCATTTAATAATGATATTTAAATTTCAAATAAATATTATGCATTTATATTTACTCCTGAGGTTGTATTATTATTACCCCAAAGTACCTCCTTTTATTTAATAAGGAGATCTTGCTACATTGTGTAAGAAAGGTTTAAATGTTCGTGAATCCTATATGATTATTTTACTTATGAGCCAAATAGATTAATGATTATTTGGCTGATCCCATTTCTTGGGAAGTTAATGATTGATTAAACTTAAAGCCATCCATGCCTGTGGCTGGTCGTTAATCCTTCCACAAATATTGAAGAATAATAAAAAAAATTAAGTTTCTACTACATGTAAACGGCTGTAAGGAATGCATCAATATCCTGAGAAACTCATCTTGTTAAAATATGTTTTCACTGATGAGAAATGCATTATTTAAGCCCGAAGTCCAACTGGAGAAAATATTAACTAGCATTTTTATCCTTTCCAGAATACTGAATCCAAAGAAATCAATGGAATTCACGATGAAAGTAACACTTTTGACTCAAAAGGTAATTACTGCCATTATAATTTATAGGAAAAGTCATAGCATAGTACTCACGTTCTGCTATTATAAAAATTAATAACTGTGAGTGAAAGAAAAACTGATCCCACTGCAAGTTGAAACTAAAAGGTTAGCACAGAGATCCAATTGCAGCCAGCTGGAAGGGCCCTCAGTTCCACCGTTGAATAGTTCAGGAACTGCAAACAAAGCTTTGGCAGCATGTTCTGGAGCTTTGAGTGCCTGTGTGCCTAAGCCAAATAAGAAAGACTGGTTTTCCTGAGGCCATCAGCTTTCTTGCTGTGGTATGCTGGCAAAGGGAATGTTAGTTAAATAAGAAACGATGAATGAAGTTTCCTTTTCCTCTTTGTTGTAAAAGGGACAAGCTCGGAGGCAGCTAGTTTTAATAGGAAAATGCCAGTGGTAATAAACAGTTGTTAGCAGACATACTCATTTATAATGAAAAAGAAGACAAAGTACCTGGCAAGATTTTGGAGTTATCACTTTCTTCTGCTCATCCAGAAATAATTTAGCTACACACGCTGTATGCTATTCTTTGGGTATACAAAATAAATAAGAAAGATCTGGTCCACATAGGTAGAAAAAGACATCCGAAGATGATGAAACTTCTTTTACCATGAAACCAGACTGCCAAGAATGGGGCTGGGTTTTCACAGTGCTTTGGTCACTTTAAATCTGCATTTGCCAGTTTATAGTAATACATTGTTAAAACCAACCTAAGTTTGCAAATTTCTCTTCCCTCATTGATTGTATTTCATTTCTTATAGTTAGAAGTGACTATATATATGTTTTTTATTTCATTTTAAGTTGCATTCTTTGTCATAGGAGTTTTTTTAAGCAAGCATTACTTATTTTTCTTCATGATGTTATATATAAGGCATTTGGGTCCTGTTCTGCCAGTGGCCCAGGCAGAGCCAACTGATAAGACATCTGACTCTGTAATGACTGTGAGACCATATTCAGGCCCTGCCATTTGAAATTTTTGTTTAGATAAGTAAGGACCAACTAGTATCAAGTAATAATCATACTTAGAATTTTATGCTGTAGTTGTGTGACAGATCTGTGGGAGAAGTCAGAATATGTTTTTCTTTCTGAACTCCATTTGCTTTACTTAAAGGTAGTAGATCTTGAAATCTGGGTCGAAGTATCCTGGTTAGAAGAGTGTTTTAATTTTAGCATTTGTTTTTAATTGATCTTTCTTTGAGTATCATTCATTTGATTGTCTTCTTCCCCATTACTTTTCAGTTCTTATTCATCAGTGTTGTGGAAACTCTTTATTATAGACAATTTTCCTTGTACTAGACAAGATTATGGATTGATTAACCTGAGCAAAAAGTGTTAACTTCCATTTCCCTAAAGCTGTGTGATCTAGCACGGAAGATGGTACTTGGCTTTCATAGCTGTGAAACTATGATGCTATCTGCTAAAATTCATTAATAAAAATATTCATAGCTTTAACTAATTTGAATGTAGTATAGACTACTAAAAATATGTGTCTGTGTGCCTCAAAATAATCCATATCTTCTATGGCTATCAATTTTGTCATCTTTTAAAATAATATTGCTATAGATTGGAAAAGTATATCAAGTATCATTTCATTTACCAGTGGTGAGAAGTTACAATGAATGACATGTTGTTTATTGGTTTTTTTTTTGTTTTCAACTAGCATCCGAACCCATTTCTTTGAAAAACTTAAAAAGGCGATCACAATTTTTTGAACAAGGTAAACCACGAAGCTAACAATTCATGCACTTTCATGGAATTGTTCTCACTCTCCACTCTTCCTCATGGTCTGTGGTGCTGGGCACTGAGCGTCTTCAGCTGGGCTCTCATTATGACCAAGTGACATAACCATTTCCATTCTTTTCCCTAGGGTCATCAGGCTTTTCTTACAGTTCATGGGTCTACCTCTGTGGTAATGGGTCTTTGTGTGTCCTTTGTATACCGCTAAAGGTTTTTTTTTTTTTTTAACTTTGTAAAAAAAAAAACAAAAAAACTAAGATACTGTTAAACACACACTTCTTTCCACTGGGTAACAGTAAGAAATGAGGAATTTCGTTTAAGCCTCACTGCTTCCTGCAAATTGTATGATAAATATTAGATTACACCAACATACAATTGGCCAACTTTTAAAAACTCTGACCTGTTTTTGGTTTTGGAAAAATGCTCTTAATAAAGAAGAGAGTTATTTATTGCTATTGGGATGGTGGCTTTGGAATGTTGATTTGACTGAAGTAAAGTCAAATAAATTTTGGTTGCATCTGAGAACAGGTGCGTTTTGAGATTCTCTCTGTGTTGGTGTAGTTGGGCAGGGCTGCCTCACGAGGTGCTGTGCGTGTTGCATTCTCTTCCCTGTTACCTTTGTCTCGTGCTCTGTCTTGCGAATGCTCCTCAAGCTCTGTGTTTTGCTATGAAGAACTTAAAAGTAATGTCTAACATTTGATATGCAACAGTCAAACGAGATTGTTGTTGCTGTCTAAAATGTTATTGTTTTTTACTTTTAAGATTATTGAAACATTTATGAATTTGCCTTATAACACAATACTTACTGGGTTTGTGTATTTTGTGTTAATCACCTTGAACCCTTCCTTTGGTGGATTAAGATCTCTTTTTGACAATAAACAGAAATAGCTTACCAGCTATGCATGCATGTCTATTTGTGTCAGTATCCTTAGTGTTTTTGATTCGTGCTTTTTATTAAACTCCTATTTTTCTGTGGCTATTTAATTCAGTATGGTACTCCTAGCTCAAATTGACTAAAATAAAACAAATCCTTTTCTTTCTCTATCCTAATTTTCTCTCATTTTTCTTCAACAGGCTATTTTAGGGAAGAATATTTCTTTAAGTTTCAAAGCAATTTTCTTAAAATAATGGTATAAGTGAATAATTTATTTGACAGCTGAAGTTTCGAGAAAATTTAAAAATACTGTGTGATAGTATATTTTCTGAAACTTTACTTTTTTTTTAATAACCATTGTACTATGTACAGACACACACAGTTATGTAGGTCCCCTAAGGATAAAAAGAATAAGACTGGCTGGATGTGGTGGCTCATGCTTATAATCCTAGCACTCTGGGAGGCTAAGGAGGGAGGATTGCTTCAGACCAGCCTAAGCAAGAGTAAGACCCAGCCTCTACAAAAAAATAGAAAAATTAGCCAGGCACGGTGGTGCGTGCCTGTAGTCCCAGTTATGTGGGAGGCTGAGGCAGGAGAATCTCTTGAGCCCAGGAGTTTGAGGTTGCAGTGAGCCATTTCTCTCTAGCCCAGGCGACAGAGTGATCCTGTCTCAAAAAAAGAAAAAAACTATCCCCATGAATTTACACATGAAGTTTGAATACTTGTGTTTCACATAAAAGGAGAAGAAAGGAAAATGTTTCTTGAACATATTTGTTAAAGTGGCTTATTTATGAAAGGTAGCTCAATAGTAAAAAAACTTGAAAAAAATGTGACTTGCAGCTGTCACATTGTAATTGAATAGTGACAAGTGAAAAATTGGATTTGATAGATGTTGTAATAATTGAGGTTTTTTATTTTCCTATGAGGCCAAACTATGAGATACTGCCATTTATTAATAAAAGAACCCTGAAACCTCTTGAGAAATACTCATTGATCCAGCTCTAATCCCTAGAGCTAGGGTTTATTTTTAGCATCCATGGTATATCTTCTTTTTACTGACTTTGAATTTGGAAGATGAGTAACAGATGAACTGAGGAGAAAAAAAGGATTAACTGACTATTGTTCAAAAAAAAATTCTCACTTAGTATACTGGCATAGAGACAGCTTAATGATAAAATTTTCTGAAAGGAATTATTTCATAGAAATGAAAATACTTACGTTGTTTGTGTTTTATTTTTTCCTCCTTGACCACATGCTGCACTACAGGAAGCTCTGATTCTGTGGCTCCTGATGTAAGTAGTATTCATCTGTAATTTGGAATAAACAAGGTGAACTTGGGTGGGACTGGATTAGTAGCATCACTCACCGTTATTTTAAGTTGCATAAGGGTTTATCAGATCATAATCCTTCCAAGTTGAACAGACTTAGGGTGAAATATAAAGCCACATCTTCTTGGGGAGGTGCATAATAATTTGTACGTGCAGAAGTGGCTCAATAGGTGACCGAATGACGTCGTGTTGTTCTGTGTTTGCGCCTCCTCTCTGACAACGGGCCAGCTTCCAGTTCCAGCCCTCAGTGCCCCGAGTCGCTGGGCATGGGATCCAGAGGAGGAGCGGAAGCGGCAAGAGCGGTGGCAGAAGGAGCAGGACCGCCTGCTGCAGGTAGCGCCCGGGGGCCGTGGGCCAGGAGGAACTAGGCTGGCTTTCGTGGCTTTTCTCTGGTCTGTGTCAACCAGGGTTGAGAAGCTCATTTAAAAAACAAAACAAAACAAAACAAACCACCAACAGTCTTATAACAAATCTTTTCATATTTAGCACATTTTCCATTAAACAATTACTTTTCCATTTCGAAGATTTCCAGAGTCATCCTTTTAAAAATAGTATTCACCCTTGTGTCTGTTTTTGGAGAGTACAAAGGGCACCCACTTAGGGTGAGAGGCGCACAGGCTTTGTGATGACTTAGTTCCCATGAACTATTTACTAGGCCCATTGCAGAATAATTCAATCCCCCTTGCAGTTTGCTAGAGGCTTTAATGAATTACAGCCATGATCAAGGGTATTCTGAGAGTCTACCCTTTCCTAACATCTGCATTTTAATTCAATGTAAGCTTTTTTCTTACTTTAGGGACTAAAATTTGATTGGTTAAATGAAAATAAAGTTACTTCCTTTTAAGGTTAAGGTGAAGGTTGAAAGATAGCTAAAGTGTCAATGAAAAAGATTCTGCTTAATATAAAAATTTAATCTATGGATTAATATGCCATATTTTCTTATAGGAAAAATATCAACGTGAGCAGGAGAAACTGAGGGAAGAGTGGCAAAGGGCCAAACAGGAGGCCGAGAGAGAGAATTCCAAGTACTTGGATGAGGTAGTGCGGGGACATGTCTCCTTACTTCCCTCCCTTCTCTTTACCTTGTTGGTGGAATTAGCCTAGAAGCAGGAGACACCTCATTTCCCTCCACTTTTGGCCACATGTCCACCTATGTAGCTCTTTGAAAAATAAAATGAGCTCTGATTTGTTAGATTTTTGCTTTGATGTTTCAACCTTTCTCCTAGTTTTTCTAGTGCACATTAAACAATTAATTAATAGAGCATAAGTGCATCTTCCTCTTGTAAGTTACATCTTGGTCACTCATGCATGGCTTTTTTCTTAATAGTAATAAAACTCTTATTTTTCTGAATGGTGTTCTGGCCAACTATGATTAGTATTATCTAAAACTGAATATACGTTTCTAGATGAAATTGTAGAAATGCACAGATTCAGATGGATTTCTGTTTTCACTGGTCACGTAGGAACTGATGGTCCTAAACTCAAACAACATTTCTCTGACCACGCGGGAGCCTGCTGTTGCCACTTGGGAAGCCACCTGGAGTGAAGGGTCCAAGTCCTCCGACAGGGAAGGGACCCGAGCAGGAGAAGAAGAGAGGAGAGAGCACCAAGAGGAAGTTGCTCCTGAGGACCAAAGAAAGAAGCTGCAGGAACAACTCACTCTGGAGAGGGAGAGGGAACTGAGGGAGCAACAGCAGCAGGAAGAGCAGGAGAAGTGGCTTCGGGCCCAGGCCGAGGAACAGAAGCGCCGTGCAGAGGAGCAGAAGCGCCAGGCGGAAAGGGAGAGGGAAACGTCTGTCAAAATATACCAGTATAGGAGGTCCGTTCCCATAGTCAGAGAGCTCAGGGACTTTAGATTGGCCTTGCTCAGCCACATCCACCCCACACTTCAAAGACACCTCCTGGCTCTTCCTGCTCCATACCACCCATTCGCTACACAAGTGAACACAGCCCAGTAGAACCTTTAAATCCTTACATATCATGTCCCCTTATTTGCCTGCCCAAAACTCTAAGTGGCTTCCTGTCACATCATAACACCATCCAGCGTCCTCACTGTGGCTTAGAAGACTGGCATGAACCAGACCGTGGCCCTCTCATCTGCCTTGTGGCACCTACCACTTTTCCCCTCACGCTGTTCCAGCCACACTGGCCGCCTTTTTCTTTCTTGAAAATGTCCAACATTTTCTACCCTTGGACTTTGACATTTTCTAGTCTCTCTGTTTGGAGAAGTCATCCATCACATGTGTATTTGTATGTCTCACTCTCTCATTTTCTTCTAGTCTCTGCTCAAGCATCACCTTAGATTTTTTAGAATATCTGATATTTAGAATATCTGATCTGTCATTCTATTTTAGAATATCTATCTGTCTATCATGCCTCTTCCCCATGCTTTCTCTCTGTATATGCTCACCCTGTTTAATATTATGCATTTTGTCTGTTAGCCGCCTGCCTGAGATGTAAGTGCAATGAGGCCAATAAATTTGTTTTGTTTACTTCTGTAGCCTGGTCTTAGAGCAGTACTAGAACACAGTGGGCACTTAGCATATACTTGTGGAATGAATGAGTGAATGAAAAAATTGGAAATGTCTGTTGGCAGTAGTGGGTGTGTTTTCTGCAGTGATTAGTTGAAATACCTTTGTATATTTAGTTTTTAACCCAGATACTATTTGCATAAAGAGACTTGAATAACATTATTTTGTTATCCTTATCTTAAATTCGGGGAAGGCCTTAAAGTGTAATATTTTTGACTATAAATTTTTTTCATCTAATTTTTAGGCCTATTGATTCCTATGATATACCAAAGAAGGAGGAAGAATCTTCAGGTTTGCTTCCTAGTGACAGGTGTGTAGAGCATTTCATTGTAATTTAGTTGCTGGTAATTGGGCTTCAGATGAACATTCTAGATGATTTGTAGAACTACTTTAGACCTTTGTCATTTGTGGGATACAAAGAGAATTTGCTGGTTGATCTTTGTACAGTTAGCTTTTGCTGTGTGACCAACTACTCCCAAACTTAGTGACTTAACTCATGATTTTGTGGGTCGGCATTATGGGCTGAGCTCAATTGGGTAGTCCTTTCAGTTGACTGGGCCCATGTGTGCATCTACTATTAGTTACCTGGGCAGCTCTGCTTTTGGAGGTTGGTTGGCTGGCTGTTCACTGGAGCAAGGAGAGCTACTGGGTCATGTGTCTTTCAACATTCAGTAGGCCTTATATAGGGCAAGGAAAAGAGAATTAAAGAGAGGAAGGCTGCAAGGCAGCTTGAGGTCTAAGTTATTATCTGAAGTAAAGTCACAGGCCAGCTCAAGTTCATGGAGAAGAGAACTCTACCTCTTTATGGGAGGAGTCACATCGCAAGGGGAATACACACAGATTGGGGAAGAACTGTGTCCCTATTTTGTAATTCAATGCAACCTTTATTTTAAAAAGGTTATGAGCAATGATTTAAGATTATCCTCAAAAGGGTTACATGTGGACAGCTGAAATGAGAATGATAACCTTTCTCTTAGGCAGTTTGGTTAGAACGACTGGTCACTTTTGTGGAATGAAGATAAGATTTCAGATATCTGAAAAGTTATACATGTCTTAAAATTTTCTAAGACATTGTTTTAATGTTTTAAAGTAATTTTTAAATGCTTTGCAGTTTTGAAATCAATAAGGACTTCTGAACAGAGTCTGTCTATAATTGTCTGGTGTAGAGCCATTAACTTGTGTTTTCAGAGTTTAAAATTTTCCTTTAGGAAGTTTATCTTATTTGTTAGATACAAGGAAAGACTTGTATCTATAGGCAGTCAGTATGACTGAATAGGGCGCAGAGTAGAAAGGGAAGAGGAAAAAAATAAACAGGTAGTAATGGCCTGACAAATAAATAGGCTAAAAAAAGTCTAGTGATTGATGACCTCATTTATAATGACTCTCTGGGTAACTACAGATCATTAACATGTTTATTTCTTTTTTAAAAGTATGGATTTATTTAAGTATTTAAAAAAGCTGTATTTATATAGCTCATTACCTTGGGAAAAAATAACTAAAATGCAGAGAAAGGAAACTTAAGGAATCTTGGAAAATATGAAATACTTCTAGTCAGTCCTGATAGAGCAAGCCCTAGCATCCCTGAGGAGTGTGGCTAGACATCTAGTGTTTTGTTCTGTGTAAACACAAGTAAAATTATTCACAAATGCAGCTGTCTACCAGTTGTGATACATTATTATGCATTATACATTATTGCATTGCATACTATGCATAAGTATAATGCATATTATTTTATAATATTGTATATTTTATTGTATTTTATTCTATTGTATATCATATTATTTTTGAAGCTCAGTGTGCTTAGTATAATGAGAATAAGATCAGCACATGTTGATTTATAGATCTAAATCTTACTGCTACAACGTTAGGCATTTTTGGAAGTTAACTATGCAATATGTTTTAATACCTCTTTGGAATGCAAGGCTAACATTTGGTACATTGCTGGTCCAGAGTAGTCAGTGGTATCTTAATGCCCAAGAAGGGGACATCATGACCCTGGGGCAATGTGGAGTAAGTGGGACAGTCTGACTTTAGGTGATCCGGTGGCAGATGTCTTGTAAGCCTGGTAAGATTGAGATCTGGATCAGAGTGCGCATTGACAAAAATTGACCAATAAATCATAGTCTTAACCATTGTGCAAGCTGGAGAAGTACTGTTGCATGTTTATAACTATTTCTAGCATTTCACTCCTCTCTGTTTTAGGAGTGTCATTGTTTTCTGTTAGTTTGTGCAATATGAAAAATCCATTGGTTTAAAAATAAATAGACATATGAAATAAATCAGCTGCTTTAAAAAGCAATCTTTTTTAGTGTTTTTACTTTATAAATGTGAAAAATACGTTATTAATGAAATATGCTTAATATATTGTGTTCTGTGTTTTAGGAATAAATCCAGATCTACTACTGAACTGAATGATTACCCTATAAAGAAAAATGGTAAATCTGATTTTTTCCAAATTTCTTCATAATTGTTTATTTGTCCTGTCACGTTATGAAAAATATTTTAAAGGTCAAGATATTTCAGATTTATTTAAGATTACATAATTAAAATACTTACCGAAGATTTTTAGATCTATATAGAAAAATAACAAAACAACATCTTGTGCTTATTTTGGCTTTATTTTATAATGGAAAAAGTACTGGGAGATTAAAATGGTTTTTAAATTGATAATGAAATTTTGCAAAGCAATGCTGGTGCAGCTTTTTATAGTAGATTTCATCTTGCAGCTGAAGAAATGGTATGGAAGAGATTTTTACAGAATACTAGGGGCCTTAAAATTATATACTAATTTGAAATTTTAAATGCAAAAACGTCAAAAAATCCAAAATGATAACTTCACTAAGTTTGCAAAAACAATTTGGAACTTGATATTCTTAGTATAAAGTATGTTTCTGAAGAATGCATACAACTAACTGAAATCACGTAACTATGAAAAAATACCCCTAAGCAATCATTATTTTAAGCAGAATTTGCATACCATGATTTGCATAAACAGACTTCTGGTCAGTTAACATGAATGGATGAAGGGCTAGAGTTGAGGATTAAGGTGAGTATGCCCATTGGAGTGGACAGCCACTCCCCAGCTCCACCCTGTCCTTGCCCTGTGGGAGAATGCAAACCTCTGACTACCTGTTCTTTCTGCTGTAAAAGAAAAGTTAAAAAAAAAAAATCTATATTTTTGTGTTATCTTTTATGTGCTGACAAGGGATTTGAAAATATTTAAATCCTCTATGAGCAAAACAGCATGTCTACTGGCCACAGTGGTCTAGTGGCAGCTAGTTTGTAACCTCTGTTAAAGCTCGATAGAATTTATAGTTCTATTAGGATTCATGGTTCTATGATTGCCCCTTTCCTCGAACACATAGGACCTTCATTATCTGGTGCTAGTTTAACTTTCCAGCCTGTTTTGCTATTTTTCCCTTAAGGAACTCTTAACTATAACTAAATTATCCTCTCTCAATTCCCAACTTATCACATACTTCCTGATCTGCTTCCTCTGGCCGACCTTTCCCTATTTATATTTCTTCTTTATGTTTCTTCTCCCCTGAACTTGCCTTTAGCCACCATTATAAGTTTAAGTACTTCATTATTCATGAACTGTTTTTAACCTGCAGTGATTATATTCTTTTCTGAAATTAAACACATGACCGTTAGTAACAGCAACTGTGAACCTCTGGAATAATCATGTTAATATTTATGGCTTGTGTCATTAATCTGGTTATTTTGTATGTATATTTTATTCCCTTTATTAACTAAATGCAAGCTCCTGAACAGCAAGCAATGGAAGTTATTAAATATTTGCTTCAAAAACTTGGTTATACCAAAAGGCACTTTTAAAATAGAAAATACTTATTTAACATCTGACCAAATTGATAAGGTGTGCATATACACAAATGGAAACAGAGGTGTGTGTGAGAAACCTTTGGGCTTACTCATTGTTTTTACTGGAAGATGAACCAAGGCCTAGACAATGAATTTTGAAACAAAGGCGGTAGCAGAGAATCTAGAGAAAGAAAGAAAATAAATCCTTAGATAACATTTCCTAATCCAAATTAAGGTACAGATGATACTTCAAAATTGTGGATGTTTTACCCAAATCAGAAATTAATCATCAAATCCAAGAGATGAATGCCTCAAGATTAAACCTGATTAATTGTCATTAATAAATTCAACATTCAAATTATAGTTCTGTCAGTTTCATACAGTAGAAACAAGTCTGATAACATTCATGGATTATTATTTGGATAGCTTGGATATTTTTCCTGTTGACAAAGGCCACGTTAATGATTGAATACGCTCTTATTCCTACAATTTGGTCATGCCTTTTATCATGCACACGGGGTCATGTCAGCTGGAGATACATGCATGTATGTCTTCTCTGTCTCCCCAGGGGGAGTGTAAATTTTTTGAAAGAAGAAAATTCCCTGTTTCCTTGCAGAGTTGTCACAGTAAACATTTGAGCATGTGCTTGATTGATTTACTTTACGAAGTGAAGAGTAGAAGAAAAACTATTTCTAGATGAGCAATTTGTAACCGAATAGTACTGAGACTAATACTAGTTGTTTGTTTTTTAGACTCCTGCCTTAGTTTTCTTGAGAGTGTTCTGTGGTGTGCCTCTGGCTGTGGGTTGGAATTTCCAGGAGTAGGAGACAGTTACTTTATGTTCACACGCAGCAGTCTTCTTAAGAATCGACACGTTTGCACATGTGTACAATGTCACATTTCAAGGTGTGCTGCATTTGGAGGTTTATCTATCACTTTTTTAAATGTACTAATTCTGAAGCTTTTGACATGTTTTTAATTTAGGAAGCAATAAATATTTAGACCGAACTGGGGGCTCTAGCTCTTCACAAAGGACCTCCAAGAAGGAACAAGGACCATCAGAAGCAGAGTTGGAGAGACAACAAATCCTTCAGGAAATGAGGAAGAGAACATCCCTTCACAATGACAACAGCTGGATCCGACAGCGCAGTTCCAGTGTAAATAAAGAGCCTATTTGTCTGCCTGGGATCATGAGAAGGTGCGAGACATTTTAGGAATTATTTTCTCGTCTTTACTATGAGGCAGGTATTTAATTTGTAGACATGCTGGTGCTTTGAATAGATGAGATGTCATGATAATTCTTCTACTTGCCTAAGGTTTGGTGAGAGAAAGGGAAATAGAGCAAATGTCATTGAGCACTATTATGTGTCAGGCATAGCCAGTTGCTTGATTTACATCATCTAATCTGGGGAAAATGTTTTGAGGTAGGGATAGTAATTCTGTTTTCCTATATAAGGAAACTGGCTCAAGCAGGGAAGACACTTGGACAAAAATCACATGTTTAATAGGTTGCAAATCTGAATGTAGAACTCTGAGGTGAGGTCCAGATGCTTAAGTAATGCATGCTGCTCTTGGTGCTTTCTTGATCGTTGAACTTGAGCAAATAGAAGTTTCATTTTTTTTAATTTAATGTTTACAATGAGATACAGTTAGATTGGAATCATGATAGTGGGGTTCAAAAAGTGTGCAAACCTAATTTTTATAGCTTTAAGAAGGTAAAGATATAGATGTTAATTGGAGATGAGTGGAGGAACATTTTAAAAGATATCTCTTGGGTAAGTGAATTCTGCGATATTTCCTTATCTGACAAAACAGACTGGAGAAAATTATTTGTAACATATTACAGAGAAAGAGCTAATTATCTCAATATATAGATGACTTTTTTAAAATCAGAAAATAAGCCCTTAACAACTTTATAAGAAAAACAAGATCAGTAATATGAACAGGCAGTTCATAGGCAAAAGAAACACAAAGCCAATAAACATGAAAGATCAATACTACTCCTACAACAATGATGTATCTCTTTTGTTTAAAGGATTTGTGAGGAGTTAAAATTGATTAAGCTTGTTGCCAATTGGTTGGACAGGTTTTCAGTATGTATGAAGCAAAAGTTTATACACTGTATTCTGAGCAATTTCGTTTCTGGCATTCTATCTTCTGGATATATTTGGATAAGTATGCAAAGATATATTTGAGGATGTACATTTAAACATTCTTGGCAATGGCAAAAGAAAAGGAAAAAATCACATGTCTACTATTAAGAGGTATTAGTAGTTGAATAAATAGTGGCATACCAATAAGATCAAATACTATATGACTATTTCACTAAAGAATGAAAGAGACATGTTGCTACATAATATACCACATCAAAACTTAGTGGGTTAAAATAATTAATCATCTCACAATTCTGAGGACTGACTGGGTAGTTCTTTGCATGGTGTTGGCTGGGGCACTTGAGCAGCTATAGTCATTTAGATTAGGAGTTGGGAAGCTTTTTTATGTAAAGGACAAGGTAGTAAATAATTTAGGTTTTGCAGGCAGCATAGGATTCTGTTATATATTCTTTATTTTTTTAAATAACTTTTTGAAAGTATAAAAAATATTCTTAGTTCATGAGCTATACATATGTTGGCAGTGGGCTATAATTTGCAGCTTGATGTAGGGGCTCACTGAGGTCTCAGCTGGAGCGATTGGTTATGAGCCTCTGTTCTCCATGTGGGCCTCTCCACATAGCTTCCTCATGGCATGGAACCTGGGTTCACAGAGTGGAAGCTTCAACAGGACAGTCCCTGATAAGCAAGTGCTTATCACCATGTGTATCATGTTTGCTGATGCCTCATTGGCCAAGTCAGTCATGTCACCATGCCCAGAGTCTGCGGGAGGGGACTACACTAGGGCATGGATACCGGAAGGCATGATTCATTGCAGGCCACTGGAGTAGTCTATCATATGAACAGACATGAAGATAGTTCTAAGATAATATATATTAAATGGAGAAGAAGTTATTGAAGACTGTGTTGTGGGAAAATCCTATTTGTTTTGTTAAGACTATTAAGTACACAAATACATTGTATATGTGTATAGACATGTCTTTATGTACATATGTAAATTTGTATGTGTCTGGGCTTGCATATGTCAGAAAGGATCTGGAAGGACACACAATTGACAGTGGCTACCTCTGGGGGTTAGGGCAGGAAAGCTGTTAGTGAGGGGGAGACTTTTACTCTCCCATAGATAACCTTTCTACACAGCTGGAGTCTTTCTCCTTATGATGATATATCACTTTTATAATGTTTAAAAAAATATTTCAAGCTTGGGATAAGAGAAAATTTTAAAGGCAATAAAATCAAAATTCACCGAGTAGAAAAAAACCTTCATAATTTAGAGTTAAGAGGGATTCTCTAAAAGTTATATTTAAATCAGCTTGTAAGCTAAATCCTATTAAATGCATATTCAGTTTAAGGGAAGTAGCTGATGAATGCTTCTATAATGTGGAAATTAAACAGTTGTTAAATTTTAGGCTTTGGGTGGTATGTGAGTGAGGGTTTCACAGGAGATGTGGCCCGGGTTACTTTAGAATTGGGGCTTTGGTTTGGAAGCCAGTACCTCCACTGACCGGCTCTTACTATGGACAAGTTCCCTTCTATGAGACTGCAAAGTATCTTACAGTGTTGTGAAGATAAAATAAGTTTAATATTTTTGTGAAAGTGTCTAGCCTAATACCTGTCATGTTTAAGTGCATAAAATGTATTTTTTGGGTTGAATTTTAAAAAAGACTTGTAAGATCAATATGTCTAAACTGAAGATTTAAAGAATAAGTATCTGTCTTTCTAGTCTTAAAACAGTATTTGCTTTTATTTTTAAAATTTTTCCTTGTATTTTTCTTTCCACTTTGGTTGGTATTTATTCTTTCTATCTAAGCACCAAGTAAATGAAAATAAATGAAGGTTAATTGACTTGTGAAACATCATGATGCCTCTGATGAAGAGCAACTTTACTTATTAAATGTAATTTTTCAGATGGTCTCTGACTTTTGATGGTTCAACTTACAGTTTTTTGACTTTACAATGGTGTAAAATGGTAGCCATTCAATAGGAACCATACTTGCCCATATGACCGTTCCGTTGTTCACTTTCAGTAGAGTATTCAATAAATTATGTAAGACATTCAACACTTTATTATAACATAGACCTTGTGTTAGATGATTTTGCCCAACTGTAGGGTTACATAAGTGTTGTGCATATTTAAGGTAGGCTAGGCTGAACTATGATGTTCAGTAGGTTAGGTGAATTAAATGCATTTTTGACATATGACATTCTCATTTCATTATGGGTTTATGCAGATATAATGCCATCATAAATCAAGGAACATCTGTATATGTAACTATTAATACCTACATGTAAAATATGTAAAGTGGATATTTTAATGACTGCGATGATGAATTAAATAGATTTCTAGTTGAAGATACCACGTTATGTTGATGAATCCTTTTTGTGTTTCAGAGGCGAATCTCTAGATAACCTGGACTCCCCACGATCCAATTCTTGGAGACAGTCCCCTTGGCTCAATCAGTCTACAGGGTTCCATGCCTCTTCCTCCATGCAAGACTTCAGTCGCCCACCACCTCAGCTGGTGTCCACGTCAAACCGTGCCTACATGCGGAACCCATCCTCCAGTGTGCCCCCACCTTCCGCTGGCCCCCCAAAGACCACTGCTGTGGGTGGAGCCCCCACCCCTCAAAACCATTCCCCTTCAACTTCACAGTCAGGCTCTCAGCTACGCAGCAGGTGAGGCCCTTCATGTTTCTCTTTTTCTTCTCTTAGTCTCAGGTATTTTTTTGTAGAAATTTCCCCTAAGCCTTGTTCAAGCTTTGCAATGAAAAAGAAAAATAAGCTCTCTTGAATGTGTCAAATTCAGTGTTCTTTTATCAAGTCAATTAAGAAGCTTTCTGTGTAACTCTAATAGCATTTATAGATGTTTCATGGAGACCTTTAAAACGTCTACTTAATCACCACTGTCTCGTTTGCCTGTGCTTGTGGTCAGTGTCTTAGACGTACCTGAATAGTCCTATGTGGAATCATAAAAATATATAGTAGCTCATGAGTGCATCTCAAATTTATGAGTCAAAACAGTATTGTAAAATATATGACTATTTTCATGACACCGTAGTACAAACTCATAGGAACTGAGTATGAAAGAAAAGCATTATAATGCAGCTCGTAGTCTGGAGAACTTTTAACTAGTTGGGTTCAAGAGATGTGAAGTAGGTTCTATCTTGCTTTTTGGGTTTCCGATTGCCAAAATCATTGCTTGGCTGTTCTGGTTTGCTCAGGCTATTATCAACAGAATTCTGTAGGTTATATTGTGTGGGAAATGTGTAAATGATGATAGGGTCCCAACTAGAAGCTGGTCTTTCGATATGGGGTGAAGCTGAGATATCAACATGGGTTGGGTTTTTAGATCTGTGTGGCTTCTCCACAGATCTTTTGTGCTTCACATGAGTACATACAGCAATGCTGCTTCACCCTGGGGGAGTGCTACTGGCATACACACTATTTCATCACAAATGGGATACTTAAAAGTAGAAACATGTGGATTAATATGGGGATTTTTGTTTATCAAGTAAGAAACTTTGGCGGGAAAACATGTTTTATATCAATTCAAAATGATGTTACATGTACCAGGATCTACAAAGTATGTATCGGAGAGTTTGAATTGAGAGTTAAGGGGTGAGGATTTATGGTAAATTTTGGTGCAGGGGAGGAAGGCAGAGAAGAGTGTACCCATGTACCTACTGAGAGCCCCACTCTAGGAAAGCAGGGAGCAGAGGGACAAGTTATGGGCTCTTGTGCTGAAAGAAGGTCTGGATCTAGAGGGTGGCCCTCTTAACATCAGACACTCTGCAGCTCTGCACTGTTCTGTGTCACTGGAGCGCTGTGCTCATGCCGTGGAGGTGCAAAGGTAAGGAAGGAGGGGCGCCACCTTACCACCTGGGGGAGGAGGTAAGACCTGGATCCAAAAGTAAAGTAGAAACCCTCCTTCCCTATCTAAACAGTAGCTGTAATTCACTTTTCATTTTCTTCTCTGCAGAGGGATGTGAGCCAGAAGCAGTCAGGAAAGCACTGATACTTTCTTTAACTAGAAAATTGGGTGACTGAAAAAGAGGGTGAAAAAGAAGGCTGAGAAGGTAGTTTGTAGACTTGCAAGGCCTCTCGAAGGAAGTTGGGGCTGCTTTTAGCATTCTGAAGGGTGGGGTGACATGATGAGAATTGTGTGCCTTGGCAGATTTAACTGGCAAGAAGATGTGGATTAGAGGAGGGGAGACTTGCTGAGTACACATGTGATCTAAGGAGGGACAGCATCATGAAGTGCAAGATGGACTAATCACACTGAAATTGTTCATTTGTGGGAATAGATGTCAAGGGTGCCAGAGCTGCCATGGAGATTGTTCAAGGTTACCATATAATCAAGGCATGCTTCAGTTGGCTGGTGAAAGTTTTTCTCCCACAGATACACAGAACCTCCTGTAAATTGTTATTCGTATTAATATCAGAGTGTGATTTTAAAATAAGAATCTTGAGCTGCATGGGTGAAAGCCTCCGTTCCATTCTTGTTCCGCATCTAGGTCAGTCAGTGGGAAGCGCATGTGTTCCTACTGTAATAGAATTCTGGGCAAAGGAGCTGCCATGATCATCGAGTCCCTGGGTCTTTGTTATCATTTACATTGTTTTAAGGTGAGACTGAGGCAAACAGCTTGCAGGCCTGCAAAGCTTTGCTTGGAGAGCGCATGGCTGCTTTGAGCCGCTGGGTGTGGATGTGCCACTAACAAGCTCTAGGTGTTGTATTTGTCAGTCTGTGCTGCATTCGAACCACAAATTGCTCGCTACGACTTAGTTTTCCAATCTCGAACCTTGTTTTAAAAATCAAATCTACAGAAACTATGCATTTCCTATCTCTAATGTTAGAATTCTATAAATAAAATTTATAGTACATCAACGTTTTCTTTATGGTGCTGTCTTAGACAATCTTGAAATATAATTTACCAATAACTTACCAATGTTATTAACATCTTGGGGACATGCAGTTTTCAAGTGTCTGAAAGCTAAGCTTTGAACAGGGGCAGTATGTAAAGGAAACCATTGCTAGTATTTTTTATAATTGCACAGTCTGCTTATACCTGATAGGTTTCTGCACATAAGAAGGAACTAAGGCCGTCCCTGCTTGGTTTTGCAGTATCCCTCTCTGGAGACATGTCTGTTTGATTCTTAAACTTACATTGGGCCAGAGAAATGTTCCAGTTGTTGAACCTGGAGTCCCACAGACCACAGCTTGTTCAAGCTTGTACATTGCTGGCTTGGGCTGTTCCTGGGCAGAGCAGAATGAGTCAAGATAATTGGAGTTTGGGCCCGTGGAACCAAAATACCCAGCCTTGAAGTGAGGTGCCATGTGGAAACACATGCCAGCTGGTGCGGTGGGGACGCTGGGGGCGGCCCCCGGAGGGTGAAGTGCCAGAAACCCGACTCCATTCCCTGCGACCAGTTCTGTCATGTGGTCCCGTACCCTCCATTCCCCTGGGGGAATGAAGACTAAATTTCTTTAAACCAATCAGCAAATTATTTCTACTTTTCTTGGGTATATTTAGACTGATCATCTTGGCTCTTAATATTGGCTTTATGAATTCTTTACAGTCTTATCTGGAAGACTTGATTTTAATCTACTGATCATCCCTTGGCCTTTTTTTCTTTGCTGAAATGTATCTAAGAGCTTAGAAGCTGCATTCTGCTCATGTTTCCCCCCCCGATAGTGCCCCAAGCTTTCTCAAGCTGACTAATTATTATTTTTTCTTGTCCCCCAGTGTGTGTCCTGTAAGTGTGACCTTGGAGGCTCTTCCTCAGGAGCCGAAGTCAGAATCAGAAACCACCAACTGTACTGCAACGACTGCTATCTCAGATTCAAATGTAAGAGAGCAAATCAAAGAGAAAATTTCTTGTCTTTTAAGGAGATCACGGGTTCCCATGCATTTCCCTGAACCTCCAGCCAGCTCCCCATCAAGTTCACTGCCTTAGGATTCCGGATTTTAGGAATCTTAGTCTGTCCCCTTCAAAAAGGGTACATAGTAAATGGGTCACTGCTCAGGGTTCCAGCCACACAAGGGTGGGTTGTGGGGAATTAGAGAGGACACAGGTCCAAAGTCAGCATGATGTCTTGTGTTATCTGCCCAGGGTCTGGAGAAATCTCTAATGACTCAAGAATACAAACAAACCAGAGCAGACAGTTAAATGAATCTTGTTACTTAGGCTGTAAACTGCTTCTTTACTAAGGATTGGTCTCTCATTATCACTTTATTTCCATTATTTAACAATCAACTTTGATTATGTGATTTAGAATATGACCAACTTTTAAACTATTGTTTAGAGCAACAAAGAATAAGTCAGTTTATGCTTTGTTAATATAATCATATATCAATATATACAATATTTTTAAAAGGAGAGCATTCTGATTATATGGTGTTTCAGTATCATTTTTGGAAAAATTGATTAAAAAACAAAACTTCAAATGCTACTTTGTGTCTAAGCATGTGTTTGTGTGTAATAAAAGGTAGGGTAGCATAATTAGGTTGTATATTGTTTATAGCTACAGCAAGACAACCATTACTGCTGTTTGTTTATATTTTGAACCTTGATGCTGGTAACGTCTGTTTCTTCCTTACTGTGAAAGGCTGTTACAAGTGGTATCAGCAAAACCATTTGCTTTTGAACGCTGAGGTATTTATGTGGCCCCTTATGTGAAGAGTGCTTTGGAAATGATCTAAGCCCAGTCAACTCTCTCTTATCTGTCGGTGGGTTGTGAGCCTTCTTACAGCAGCCGTCCAGTTTTTTCCTGGAGGCTGATGCTGAGGTTGGAGAATGTCAAGGCTGGGCATGTACTGGGGGGAGTGTGTGTATGTGTGTGCGTTTTTCTGTCTCTAATCAGATCCCAAAGCCAAGTAGAAATGAGTTTTCGGGACCACCATTGTAAAATTGCCCATGCCTTTTCTCTCCTTCAATACAAATAATAGAGAGTTGAGTGTAATTTATACCTATAGAAACGGTTAGTTTTTTCTCCATTTTTGCAAATAAAGAATTCTAGAGCCCAGAGGTTGTGATTCGCCTCACTTTATCCTAAGAGTGAGTGACAGGTTACTCTTTCTGCCTCACTGGGCCACTCTCTGACGACTGCCACGTATCCCAGGTGGCAATATTCACGTGTTTCTGAATCTAAGCATGTTTCTTTCTTCTCTCCTTGCCTGATCAGCTGGACGGCCAACAGCCATGTGATGTAAGCCTCCACACGAAAGCACTGTTGCAGACAGAAGAAGAGGTGGTGGCTGCTGATGCAGATCTATAAATAATTGTTGTGTGTCTTTTTTGCTTTCTTTTTTTAAAAAAAGAATAACTTTTTTGGCCTCTTTAGATTATATAGGAACATTGTAGTCTTGGTAGAATCTGTATTTTTCGTTGTTTATTTATGAGAAAGTAATTATGTGTGGGGGAAAAGTGCAGTATTGTTGAATTCAGCATCTTAAAAGCACAAGAGAAAAAAATAAGAACTTAAAAATATTTTTGAAGCTGATAATGATCTAGTTTGACTTTCCAGTGGTATTTTGAAGAGGGTATTTTATCGTTTTTTTTTTTAAAGTTCTTAAACATTATTTGAAATAGTTAATATAAATATGTAATTGCATTTGCTCTGTTTATTGTAATGTATACTAAATTAATGCAGAACCATATGGAAAATTTCATTGAAATCCATCCCCAAATTTGCTTTCTGTATCCTTCCTTGCACCTATATAATACAATTTAAAAAATTTATGTAACATTTTAATTGCTTGATGAGGGGAGCTCTATTTTCCTTAACAATAGAAAGCTGCTTATTTTCATTAATGAAAAATAACCATGGTTTGTATACCAGAAATTTTCTCCTGAAACTGGTGAACCTTTCTGTTCAATTGCATTTGTAAATAAACTTGCTGATGCATTTATGGAGTGGTGGTTCTTTTTCTTCTGTGTATGTCTGCCTGCCTTTAGGCTTTTTAATCATATTTCAGTATGTGTCCTTTTTGGATATTGTTTTATTTAGCAGATTTACTGAAGTATAATTGACATGATAAATGGCACATATTTTAAGTGCGCAGTGTGACAAATTTTGACGTGTACGTCTGTGAAAATATAGTCTTGATGTTTTAACTGATTTTAATGAGGAACTTTTTATGTTTGATAAAGTTATGTTTTTGAATATACATTTTTTTTTTTTTTTGAGACAGAGTCTCACTCTGTTGGCTAGAGTGAGTGCTGTGGCATTAGCCTAGCTCACAGCAACCTCAAACTCCTGGGCTCAAGCAATCCTTCTGCCTCAGCCTCCCGAGTATGGGACTACAGGCATGCGCCACCATGCCCGGCTAGTTTTTTTCTATATATTTTTAGTTGTCCAGATAATTTCTTTCTATTTTTTAGTAGAGATGGCGGTCTCACTCTTGCTCAGGCTGGTCTCGAACTCCTGAGCTCAAACAATCCGCCCGCCTTGGCCTCCCAGAGTGCTAGGATTACAGGCGTGAGCCGCCACGCCCGGCCTAATACAATACATTTTTATGGTAAGAGGAGATGTGAGTGATGAATTGTTGGATCATTTGAATAAAATCTTTTCTTTTGCTATCCCAGTAATAAAAGAAAAAATTGAGTTTAGAAAATCTATGGAGCAAAAAATGTACACTAATGTTTCAGAAATCTGGAGTGGGGATGCAAGAATACAAAACTTTAGCATGCTTTGAGCAAAAATATAAACTTGTTGGAATCCTTTAATAATAATGTAAGTGGAGTGGATGACACTAGGAATTGAAAGCTGTATTGGAATAGGTTTAAGATACATAGTTAAGTGTTAATGTGGGAGAAAGTTAAAAACTTTATTTAGCACTTATTCTTTATTTTTGATTATTAAATTAATATGTGTTTATTGTCAAATGCCCCTTCAAAGCATAAAGAATATAATTCTAACATTCCCCATAAAACCCATACAATTATTGTGCTTTATGGGTCAGCATGAGCGTAAAGAAGGGGAGAGGACTTTACTCTCTACGTACATTAAGGCATGGAACTTCTTCAGTGCTAAATTTAGGAAGGAAAGTAGCATGAAAATTGAATTTGTTCTGTTTAAGAATTTAATTTTAGCATTTTACTTGGAATGTTCAGATGTATTAGAGTGAAAACCAACCAAAAAAAGTGAAAATATCTGAATTCCAATGAATAGACATAGAATAATAACAACTGCCTGATTGTTAGAGTTGAGAGACATGCCTAATAGGGTGTGTCAGGGTTGGGATTTTCCTTGTTTTATTTAGCACTTTAATATCCTTCCCTGAAATCTGGAAGAGGGATTAAAAGGCACGCTAATGCAAGTCCCAGTTCATGCCAGTAAAAATGGCATTTAAAAACTAATCTGTGCTTAACATCCATGCATTGGAGGTAGAAAAACAACTTCCAGGTTCTTCATAAAATATGTAGATCCTGGAAGTATGTGTGATGACTACCAAGCAATCCTTATTCTCATGCAGAAGAGACAGGCACATACCCAGGCACATTCTAGTACATGGTAGAAGAGACCAGGGCTAATGAGAGAAACTGGGTGAGAATGGAGTAGAAGTAACTTCATAGCGAAGCAGATATTTGAACTACATCTTTAAGGGCAGATACAATCAACTGAGCATGTGAAAGGAACAAAATACCTTTTCTGAGTTAAGATCAATATCCCAGTGCTTCCTCCCTTGCTTTGTATTCCCACTAAACTTTACAGTTTGGCCTGTGTTGCAAAGGAATAAGAAGACCACTAGATACGCTCTGTGTGATCATGTATCCACGAACTGGTGAAGATCTGACTTAGGGTTGTGAGACCTGCCAAAAGGAGTAAGTCGATGGATGAGCTATCCCAACTCGTGGATGTAACGAGACCCAAAGACAAGCAAATGAATAACTCTAGGACCTCAAGCCTGGGTAGCTCAGAAACTGATTATTTTTTATTTTTACAGATGGGGTCTCATCCTGTCACCCAGGCTAGAGTACAGTGGCTTAATCAGCTCATGGCAACTTAAGAACTCCTGGGCTCAAGCGATCCTCCCACCTCAGCTTCCCAAGTAGCTGGGACTACAGATGTGAGCCATTGTGTCCGACAGATACTAACATTTGTTTGGACAGAACATACTGCAGGGTTGACATACATTTAGAAGTGTCTAAAGGTAGCTGAAAATATTGGATTGGGTTTAAGTTGCAAGAGAAAGAAATATTCGTTAATGCGTTCATTTGCATTCTCAGATTGACTTAAACTTTATTTTCTGACCCAAGAGGAAGAAAGTTGATTCATCCAGCAGTTCAATAGTACCATTAAAGAAGCACATCGTTTTGGTTGTTTGGCCATCCACAATGTTGGCCTGATCCTAAGGCTAGTTACTACCATGGCTGTAAGATGGTTCATGGGCTTCCTGCTTCCTTGTTCTTGTCTACTGAAAGAGAGGCTGACTTTTTACTGCTCTCAAGGGTGTAGGAAAACTCCCCAGAAGACTTCAGCAAAACCTTTCTTCTCATTGGTCAGACTTGAGTTATTTGTTCACTTTTGAACCAAGGGGAGCCCCATTCTCATGATAATCAGGACCCCCTTCAATGAAGATCAACTTGCAATCATGTTATGGTGAATCAACGGGGGTCTGATGGAATGAATGTTGGGGAGTCAAGCCCAGTATTTACCATAGTTAGCCTTTGTGAACTCTCTCAAGATGGTTACTGAGTACTTGCATTATGCGAGACCCTGTCTTATCTTCAATGAGTTAAACAATATATAGAGAGGGGACAAGGAGCTTCCCTTCAATTGTACCCAATAAGGATCATGTGTGGCAGTGGCTACCTGATTGAAAATTTGATGTGTTCTAGCAAATGTAAAATAGCTTATGGTAATGATGAGATGAAAAACTGGGAACCTGGTAATTTGCGAATCCTTTTAAAGTGTGAGAAATAGCTCATAATTTTTCAGGTTTTTTATATAAAAGCTCATGAAAGCAAATCATGGAATTAATATTCATCCTTTTATGATTAAATTTTAAACACTTCAGTGTTTTCAAACACTTGGATTTTTACATACTGATATCCCATGGTATCGTTTTAACATATTTAGGTGACCTATTAAGTCTCTTGATTATTGTTTGACAACTCTATGTGAAGCTCTTTCATGCTTATACTATAAAGATCCTCAAAGCTCTTTATAGATAAGTATTTTTCATAACACCATTTCTGTGGACGATTATCATAACTGCTATTAAAATTAGATTGGAGCAGGAATAGGACTTACTCAAAATCCCCTAGGAGAGGCCCTATTAGAATCAGGAAAACAATGTAGCAGTTTTTTTCTAGGTAGGTTATATTCAGGCTTTTAACTTATATATTTTTGTGTGTTACTTTTTTTAAGCTAAAGGTGCTTCATTAGATCTAAAATGAATTCAGTGTCTCAGGCCTGCATGTGAGGCATTGATCTGCCTGTTGCTGTTTCAGGCTAAACACAGTTCCTCTTACATTTATCAGAAGCTCATTTCCCCTTTCAACCTGTTGCACAGCAGCGGCAAAACATTCTTCAAAGGCAGCCAAAAGAACTCCCGGTTCAAGCCCTCCAGCCATGTGTAGTCTTGAATCCGTCCTGCATCCAAATCAGACTAGCTGTCTAGGATCTCTTGGCTGTAAAATGCTGCCACTGAGGCTGTGTCAAGTTCAAATACATGATGAGGTTTAGAATATCCAGGACACCTTCATTCTGCGTATGTTTAAGTCCTCCTCTCAGGAATACAGCTCTCAGCTGCAGAGGAGACAGGAAAGAGCCTCTGCTGCTACTGAGTTCGCCTTCCCAGTGTTTATTGAGTACTTTCTGTGTGCCGGGGTCGTTAGGAATATGACAGCAAGGTGGTATTTTCACACTATAAAGTTCAGCTATAAAAATGATTTTTTTTCTGATTGTACTTAATATCTATTTGGAGCCCCACCCTGTCTGGAGGTAGGACACTCAATTCTCGTTTTAGCTATGTTCTTTACAGATGCTTCCGATTTAAATCCAGTCAAATCAGGATTTTTCTTATCTCCCTCTTCTGTCCCATGGGTGGCATCTAAGCGCTGGGTATGTTTACACAGTGGTGTGTTGTGGGCCTGTGGGGGCCCTTTGTTTGCTCTGGTTTCTGCAACGTGCTCACTGCAGTGCCTGTGCTCATGTCTGGTCTTTCTACTTGGTTAGTGCTTCATCATGGCCACCGCTGGGGTGTCCACTTCCCCATCTGGTCCACGGCTAGAAGGTCCATGCAGCACAGCCACCCATTTTCATCTCCAGCATGTGACTCCTTTGGGTGAACAGTCCTGCTGTGTCAGCAAAGGGCCATCTCTACCTTTAGTTGCTTAGTCACATCTACAAAGTCCCTTAGCCATATAAGGTAACATATTCACAGGTTCCAGAGATTAAGATGGGAACATCTTTGGGGAACATTATTTAGCCTACCATAGTCAATTAGATATTTACCAACAAAAACATGAATTAATATCTTCTGCTGGTGGCTCTATTTCTTTAAAGGGAATACATTAGTATGATTCTGACTACAAACGTTAATATATTCTTGTCTTTATAAATGTGTGCTCATCACTAAATTATATAAAGTGACATTTATCATGTCTATAGACTTAATTTTCAGTGGATAGTGGTTATTTCAGTGACATCTACAATGCCTGTTCTGCCAGTACAATAACTCATTTCTTATGGTAGTGGTATCCAAAGTTAAGTGCAAGATGATCCATTGGATTTGTAGGAAGAACAGATTAGAACACTTGCACGTATCTCTGTGTTTGAAAATTAAAATTTTAAGCTTTTCTAATATCTTATAGAAGGGTTCACACACATATACCTGTCTTTATGGCTGTTTGTCACATGTGGTGTAGAGAACGTGAGGTGTCCTGAGGACTGAATGGGAGT